TGTCACATTTGAGTACTCGAACGACGTGTAGCTCAGGCCAGCCCCAAATGTCCACTCCATGGCGCAGTCTTGGAACCCCTCGCGGCATTCCGAGTTGACGCGATGGAAGTACGGGAGGTGGATGTTGCCGCTGGCCTGGGGGTACGTCAATGGGAGCTTGGCGGACGGATTCACGCGACCAGAGATGACGTCCGCGATCGCCTGGCCGCCTTGTTCACAGGGCAAAAAGCTATAAGAAAGTAGCTTCAAGTGTCTTGACATCAACTAATATATTAACTAGAACAGCTCGTCATAGAACGACCAATACAGATAGATATATACTGTAACACTTCATGTATATATATATATATATTGGTGAGTATTCAACATATTCGTATATATATATATATATATATATACGAACTAGGCCAAAATAATCACCAAGATACTGTATATATATATATATATTGGTGGGTAAGTACTCAATTGCTACCACTGTACATATACATACATATATGTAGTGTATAGACGCTTGATATTTATGTATACATATACATATATACAAACTTGCTATTTCAATCTAACGATATAGAAACTTTGATATTTCATCGCGTAAAAACTCATACTAGTAGCATCGAAAAAGTATTGGAAAAAGGTGCCCATGCTTCCATACCTGACAAGCACCGCAGCCGCCAATTTGTGCGCGCCTTGGAGCAGCCGTGGCCGTCCTTGTACAACCACGAGGATGACGTTGGTCGAATGAATGGCTGTGAGCGCTCGGACGTACTCGAGCTGACCGTCCGGCAGAGCCAGCTCGTCGATATCTCCGTTCTTCTCGGCGTAGGGTGACTCGCCCACGACCACAATCGTGTAGGTGCTGGAGGCAGCCAACGCCAAATCGGCCGTTCGATTGCCGATGACGTGGCCGGTCGTGTCGACACCTTCGGCGTACCGGACGTTTGCAAACGTGTGATTGAGGGCGTCTCGAACAGACACTCCATGCGGAATCAACGTCGAGTTGTCT